TAATCCACACTTGTATTAGTCCCCTCGTTTGGTGATTGTCGTTTAGGCTGTGACAACGAATAGGCAGTATGTTTTAGCAGGAAGTTTGGTAGAGTGACCTGATTTGTAACTATGAAAATCATTCTATTTACTTTATTTAGTCTGATATGGAACCATTCTCATTCTTAACAATGGGCTAACATATAAAGGTAATTACTGTGCTTGCCAGCAAGAACACTACTGTTATTCCCCAAACGTATTGTACTATTCCACTTCCCAGTGTTGCCAGTGTAATCACATATTTGAAATATGATATGCCTACTTGTGTCTTTGAAAATGAATTATATGAGACTATGTATTATTGCAGCCATTCATGGACAGTTTTGAATAAGTCATACAAATAAGAATGGGATATTGAATGCTCCAGGAATCAAATTTAATTTAGGAAAATTCACACATTACATTTGAGTCATTCAGCAGATGCTCTTATGCAGAGCAACTTACGGTAGTAAATGCATACATTTTTATACTGTTCCCCCGTGGGAATCAAACCAACAACCCCGGCATTGCAAGCACCATGCTCTACCAAACTAGCCACATGGGATCACATGCAAGGCGAAGATGGTAGGGGGATTCACAACTCATAAACAAATCATATTTTGTCTCTGTAGAGTAAGGTGAAGGCAGGGATCTTCAACTAATTGGCATAAACCACCTGAATATTGATATTCATTAGATCTTTCTTGAAGGTTGGGTGATCTTGAGAAATTATTGTTATAACGAGAACATTTTCAAACACCCATCACTTGGGAAACATAGATCAGGGGTGGCCAACCCTCCTGGAGAGCAAGCAGGACTCAGGAAACATAGATCAGGGGTGGCCAACCCTCCTGGAGAGCAAGCAGGATTTTCTTCCAGCCCTATTTTAAAGAGAGAGTTCACCCAAATTACAAAATGTTTGTGTCCTTACCTTGAAAGCAGTATATGGACAAGGAGACTGCAATCTATGATTTGGTTACCCCACTGCCATCAACCACTACTATTATTATGTCCTGTGCAGAGCCTTGGTGTGGTGGTAACTCTCCCTGGCACGTGTTGCAAACAACTTTCCACCTGAGAACAAGGACCTCCCTGATCATAGGCCTATGTCATATCAAAATACATAGAATTTCAGGAAATGAGCTTTAAAACAGTAACATTTTCAGTTGAGTGGTTGTGCCTGGGGACAATGAAATTCACATAGTAAATCTGACTCCAAGCTAACACCCCTATGGATAACTACTAACACCCCTATGGATAACTACTAACACCCCTATGGATAACTACTAACACCCCTATGGATAACTACTAACACCCCTATGGATAACTACTAACACCCCTATGGATAACTACTAACACCCCTATGGATAACTACTAACACCCCTATGGATAACTACTAACACCCCTATGGATAACTACTAACACCCCTATGGATAACTACTAACACCCCTATGGATAACTAATAACACCCCTATGGATAACTAATAACACCCCTATGGATAACTACTAACACCCCTATGGATAACTAATGGTCTGATTAAGTGCTCGATTCAATCTGTAGCGCTGAAGTTCCGCGTTGTAGCCCGATTGACATTTAAAGGCAATGTTCCCACGTTATCGGAGATCGCAGTCATGGTAAACGCTGCATGTGTCGTCTCAATCGGAAATGACCTTTACATTTCAAGCTTGCTGTGGCGCCCAACTTGGGTATGGATTGAATTGAGCCCTTCAACACTCGGTGTGAGTCCTCAACCTGCGACCATGGAAACGGCTGTGTGATACCCATCATGTGTATTGTGATGTGATTCACAGCAGTGTTTCTCAATCTCAGGTCCGGGCATCCATCTACCAGATATATATATATATATACAGAGGGGAGAACAAGTATTTGATACACTGCCGATTTTGCAGGTTTTCCTACTTACAAAGCATGTAGAGGTCTGTAATTTTTATCATAGGTACACTTCAACTGTGAGAGACTGAATCTAAAATCAAAAATCCAGAAAATCACATTGTATAATTTTAAAGTAATTAATTTGCATTTTATTGCATGACATAAGTATTTGATCACCTACCAACCAGTAAGAATTCCGGCTCTCACAGACCTGTTAGTTTTTCTTTAAGAAGCCCTCCTGTTCTCCACTCATTACCTGTATTAACTGCACCTGTTTGAACTCGTTACCTGTATAAAAGACACCTGTCCACACACTCGATCAAACAGACTCCAACCTCTCCACAATGGCCAAGACCAGAGAGCTGTGTAAGGACATCAGGGATAAAATTGTAGACCTGCACAAGGCTGGGATGGGCTACAGGACAATAGGCAAGCAGCTTGGTGAGAAGGCAACAACTGTTGGTGCAATTATTAGAAAATGGAAGAAGTTCAAGATGACGGTCAATCAACCTCGGTCTGGGGCTCCATGCAAGATCTCACCTCGTGGGGCATCAATGATCATGAGGAAGGTGAGGGATCAGCCCAGAACTACACGGCAGGACCTGGTCAATGACCTGAAGAGAGCTGGGACCACAGTCTCAAAGAAAACCATTAGTAACACACTACGCCGTAATGGATTAAAATCCTGCAGCACACGCAAGGTCCCCATGCTCAAGCCAGCGCATGTCCAGGCCCGTCTGAAGTTTGCCAATGACCATCTGGATGATTCAGAGGAGGAATGGGAGAAGGTCATGTGGTCTGATGAGACAAAAATAGAGCTTTTTGGTCTAAACTCCACTCGCCGTGTTTGGAGGAAGAAGAAGGATGAGTACAACCCCAAGAACACCATCTCAACCGTGAAGCATGGAGGTGGAAACATCATTATTTGGGGATGCTTTTCTTCAAAGGGGACAGGACGACTGCACTGTATTGAGGGGAGGATGGATGGGGCCATGTATATTGGCCAACAACCTCCTTCCCTCAGTAAGAGCATTGAAGATGGGTCGTGGCTGGGTCTTCCAGCATGACAACGACCCGAAACACACAGCCAGGGCAACTAAGGAGTGGCTCCGTAAGAAGCATCTCAAGGTCCTGGAGTGGCCTAGCCAGTCTCCAGACCTGAACCCAATAGAAAATCTTTGGAGGGAGCTGAAAGTCCGTATTGCCCAGCGACAGCCCCGAAACCTGAAGGATCTGGAGAATGTCTGTATGGAGGAGTGGGCCAAAATCCCTGCTGCAGTGTGTGCAAACCTGGTCAAGACCTACAGGAAACGTATGATCTCTGTAATTGCAAACAAAGGTTTCTGTACCAAATATTAAGTTATGCTTTTCTGATGTATCAAATACTTATGTCATGCAATAAAATGCAAATTAATTACTTAAAAATCATACAATGTGATTTTCTGGATTTTTGTTTTAGATTCCGTCTCTCACAGTTGAAGTGTACCTATGATAAAAATTACAGACCTCTACATGCTTTGTAAGTAGGAAAACCTGCAAAATCGGCAGTGTATCAAATACTTGTTCTCCCCACTGTATATATCTCCTTTCTCTCTCTCTGTCTCTCTATTTATCTTCAGACTAACCCATGGTAGATTGACAGATGCTACCGATGCCACTGCCAGTAAAATCAAACAGACGTCATTGATATAATATCACTCAAAACAACGCGTTAATCATTGTGCTACAGCACTGAGATCACATCTTACTAAATTAGAACAGATAACAGATAGTGTTAGGATCTTTCTTTATTCACTGTTTTACATGGACACAGCTTTCCAGAATCAACTACTGTACAGATGATAGACAGGTATTTTAGAGCACATTGAACAACAGTGATTGTCCAGCAACAGTCAGAGGATGGTCAAATCATAAAAATAGAATGAATAGAATGTCATTCTATTCCAATCAGTGGAATAGCCAGATGTGCTGGCCCATTGGTTCTGTGCTGTACCACTAGCCTGGTCCCAGATCAGTTTGTGCTGTCTGTACAACTCTGATGGTCATTGTCAACAAAATGATCAGGGATCAGGGTACAATATCACTGGTGTCCTGGTTTCTTATTGGCTGTGTGTGTGTGTGTGTGAGAGAGAGAGAGAGAGAGAGAGAGAGAGAGAGAGAGAGAGAGAGAGAGAGAGAGAGAGAGAGAGAGAGAGAGAGAGAGAGAGAGAGAGAGGCAGCAAGTGCACAATGATGATGCAGACAGACAACAGCAGGGCTGCAGTCACTGTTTGCAGATGTAACAGCTTTCAGTGTCTAACAAACACATAATATAAATGAGGAGGGTGTGTGTGTGTGTGTGTGTGTGTGTGTGTGTGTGTGTGTGTGTGTGTGTGTGTGTGTGTGTGTGTGTGTGTAACTTTTTGCTTGATTCAAATGCAGATAGTAATTACTGGAGCGTGAGATATAGCGTATATCAACCTTCCCAAGTTCTCTCACGTCACCCCGCTCCTCCGCACACTCCACTGGCTTCCAGTTGAAGCTCGCATCTGCTGCAAGACCATGGTGCTTGCCTACGGAGCTGTGAGGGGAACGGCACCTCCTTACCTTCAGGCTCTGATCAGACCCTACACCCAAATGAGGGCACTACGTTCATCCACCTCTGGCCTGCTGGCCCCCCTACCTCTACGGAAGCACAGTTCCCGCTCAGCCCAGTCAAAGCTATTCGCTGCTCTGGCACCCCAATGGTGGAACAAGCTCCCCCACGACGCCAGGACAGCGGAGTCACTGACGACCTTCCGGAGACACTTGAAACCAGACCTCTTTAAAGAATACCTGGAATAGTATAACAGTAATCCTTCTACCCCCCCCCCCCCCCCCCCCCCCACATTAAAAAAAAAGAAAAAAAAGGGTGTTTGTCCCACTGGCTATCCTAAGTTGAATGCATCAATTTGTAAGTCGCTCTGGATAAGAGCGTCTGCTAAATGACTTAAATGTAAAATGTAGATGGTGTAGATGTGTTGAGGGTGGATAGTTGAATGAGAGAGAAGGCAATCCCTCATTTACCCCCCTCCCCCAATAAATGTGTGTTTACGTGTGTGGAGTTTCTTCACTCCTCTCCGTGACGTTCGTTGCCACTTCCCTTCCTCATCATCGGCATGTCGTTGGTCTTGGTGACAGGGATGGAGATCTCTGCAGCCTTGATGGCCTGCCTGTTGAGAGGAGCCTCCACGGTCAGAACTCCCTCAGGGGACAGGGTGGACGTCACCTTCTCAGCGTCGGCCATAGGGGGCAGGCTGGAGCAGGAGGGAGAGGAGACACCGCAGCACATGGATGAAATACTTTACTGGAGGCAGACAGTGCTTTTATCTCTCGATATATATCTTCATCTTTAATGTAATCTGATACTTTATTCAGATTTCCTGGCGTCTAAACTCCAGGGGAGCACTAAGGTCCTCTGTAGCTCAGCTGGTAGAGCACGGCGCTTGTAACGCTAAGGTAGTGGGTTCGATCCCCGGGACCACCCATACACAAAAAAAAATTGTATGCACGCGTGGCTGTAAGTCGCTTTGGATAAAAGCGTCTGCTAAATGGCATGTTATTATATTATTATAAGGGAAACAGCACAGTCAGGATACTGTACAGCACCAGATACATTGGGAATCTGTTGTCAATGTCTCACGCTCCAGGAGGAGTAAGAGGACCCAAGGAAGGAAGGAAGGCTAGTATTTGGATGCTGTCTATAAAATACTTAACTGAGACATCTTCATTTTCTTTAATGTAATTTGATTGAATCTTATTTTATTATAAGCTTTCCAGCCTTCCAGTGGGGCAGTGTTGACTCCAGATTCATGGTATGTGTAGTGTTGAATCCAGATTCATGGTATGTGTAGTGTTGAATCCAGATTCATGGTATGTGTAGTGTTGAATCCAGATTCATGGTATGTGTAGTGTTGAATCCAGATTCATGGCATGTGCAGTGTTGACTCCAGATTCATGGCATGTGCAGTGTTGAATCCAGATTCATGGTATGTGTAGTGTTGAATCCAGATTCATGGTATGTGTAGTGTTGAATCCAGATTCATGGTATGTGTAGTGTTGAATCCAGATTCATGGTATGTGTAGTGTTGAATCCAGATTCATGGTATGTGTAGTGTTGAATCCAGATTCATGGTATGTGTAGTGTTGACTCCAGATTCATGGTATGTGTAGTGTTGACTCCAGATTCATGGTATGTGTAGTGTTGACTCCAGATTCATGGTATGTGTAGTGTTGACTCCAGATTCATGGCATGTGTAGTGTTGAATCCAGATTCATGGTATGTGTAGTGTTGAATCCAGATTCATGGTATGTGTAGTGTTGACTCCAGATTCATGGTATATGTAGTGTTGACTCCAGATTCATGGTATATGTAGTGTTGACTCCAGATTCATGGTATGTGTAGTGTTGAATCCAGATTCATGGTATGTGTAGTGTTGACTCCAGATTCATGGCATGTGTAGTGTTGACTCCAGATTCATGGTATGTGTAGTGTTGAATCCAGATTCATGGTATGTGTAGTGTTGACTCCAGATTCATGGTATGTGTAGTGTTGACTCCAGATTCATGGCATGTGTAGTGTTGACTCCAGATTCATGGTATGTGTAGTGTTGACTCCAGATTCATGGTATGTGTAGTGTTGACTCCAGATTCATGGTATATGTAGTGTTGACTCCAGATTCATGGTATGTGTAGTGTTGAATCCAGATTCATGGTATGTGTAGTGTTGACTCCAGATTCATGGTATGTGTAGTGTTGACTCCAGATTCATGGTATGTGTAGTGTTGACTCCAGATTCATGGTATGTGTAGTGTTGACTCCAGATTCATGGCATGTGTAGTGTTGACTCCAGATTCATGGTATGTGTAGTGTTGACTCCAGATTCATGGTATGTGTAGTGTTGAATCCAGATTCATGGTATGTGTAGTGTTGACTCCAGATTCATGGTATGTGTAGTGTTGACTCCAGATTCATGGTATGTGTAGTGTTGAATCCAGATTCATGGTATATGTAGTGTTGAATCCAGATTCATGGTATGTGTAGTGTTGAATCCAGATTCATGGTATGTGTAGTGTTGAATCCAGATTCATGGTATGTGTAGTGTTGACTCCAGATTCATGGCATGTGTAGTGTTGACTCCAGATTCATGGTATGTGTAGTGTTGAATCCAGATTCATGGTATGTGTAGTGTTGACTCCAGATTCATGGTATGTGTAGTGTTGAATCCAGATTCATGGTATATGTAGTGTTGAATCCAGATTCATGGTATGTGTAGTGTTGAATCCAGATTCATGGTATGTGTAGTGTTGAATCCAGATTCATGGTATGTGTAGTGTTGACTCCAGATTCATGGCATGTGTAGTGTTGACTCCAGATTCATGGTATGTGTAGTGTTGACTCCAGATTCATGGTATGTGTAGTGTTGACTCCAGATTCATGGTATGTGTAGTGTTGACTCCAGAGTCATGGTATATGTAGTGTTGACTCCAGATTCATGGTATGTGTAGTGTTGAATCCAGATTCATGGTATGTGTAGTGTTGACTCCAGATTCATGGCATGTGTAGTGTTGACTCCAGATTCATGGTATGTGTAGTGTTGACTCCAGATTCATGGTATGTGTAGTGTTGAATCCAGATTCATGGTATGTGTAGTGGCCCCTGGATGGCGACAGAGTCTTGTGGAGCTCAGCTTACAGGGAAGAGGGCAGTACTATACAAACACCGTCAGTCACTGCCTTCGCTAAGCCTTCCGCTACACTCAACCCTCTACAGGCTTGACCAATCAACCGTCTACAGGCTTGACCAATCAACCGTCTACAGGCTTGACCAATCAACCGTCTACAGGCTTGACCAATCAACCCTTTACAGGCTTGACCAATCAACCCTCTACAGGCTTGACCAATCAACCGTCTACAGGCTTGACCAATCAACCGTCTACAGGCTTGACCAATCAACCCTTTACAGGCTTGACCAATCAACCCTTTACAGGCTTGACCAATCAACCCTCTACAGGCTTGACCAATCAACCCTTTACAGGCTTGACCAATCAACCCTCTACAGGCTTGACCAATCAACCAAAAGAGGCTCACAGGACCAGACCCACCACAACAGAACCACTGGAGTCTGGACTAAGCCTGCAGAATGCATAATATGCATCATATGAAGGAAAGCCTCCATGAAGCTGCCATGAAGTAGCCTAACCAAACCATTTCTATACAACTGACAAAAGTGCCAGAAGGTTTAGGAATATAATATAAATATAATATAATATAATATAATAATAATATGCCATTTAGCAGACGCTTTTATCCAAAGCGACTTACAGTCATGCGTGCATACTTTTTTCTTTTTGTGTATGGGTGGTCCCGGGGATCGAACCCACTACCTTGGCGTTACAAGCGCCGTGCTCTACCAGCTTTGTGCTCTACAAGCGCCGTGCTCTACCAGCTTTGAAATAGCTTTAAAACCTTCCAGTGAAAATGGATTTTAGTTGTTGACGAAATCAACATTGAAAGGAGTCCCGAGTCAACTTAATCTCTGAAACAAATGGGAGAGACATTATTTTGTCCAGTCACTGACAGAGGCTCTACTCCAATTATTTTAAAATGATTCCTATTTCGGCATGGTGACAAATTGTTACAACGTGTTATGCAACAGTGGTTTATTTATTTGTTGTGCGGTCTTCCAGGTTATTTGACAAGAATGCAGTTGTATTGTTGTTATAAACATTGACAATGATGTTGTGTTACTTACGTGTATTTCCTGGTGAAGCATCTGGACACGAATCCATGATCGTCCTTCCTCTCCTCATGCTTGCCTGTGGACACAGAACACACACACGCCCACACACGCATGCACGCACACACATACGCCCACGCACACACACACGCACGCACGCACACACACACACACACACACACACACGCACACACACGCACACACACGCACACACACGCACACACACGCACACACACACACACACACACGGATCAGTCTTGGCACTGTCTCACACACTGGGGACTGCAGTCACTTTATGTACCATGCCCATCTTATCAATGTTTATTTGAGTAAGAGCACAAGCTGTTGCCTCTCTGTCTGAACACTCCCTTGATATTTCAACACTGTTGAGGGAGCTAGTGGTTCACTCTTTAGGAGAGCCGTCTGTTCTGTTTTACCAGGGGCTGAGAATAGATGTCATGCCCCCCCCCCCGCCCCCCCTTGCCTGGTGTCGGTACTGTACATCCATGTCCCCTTTGACACGTTCACTAGCATGTTACATGTTACAGGTAAGTGCTAACTCAATCTCTTTCATCAGGTCCCTACATGCCAGGCCTGAAATACTACCCTGCTATCTGACAACATGTCTGTTTGTTATGACGACAGCTGAGCTGCTAATAGGAGTTTGCCACAGAGACCTGTCCCCATTTCCTGCAGGACAGCAACATTGGACAGAGTGAGTGAAAGGGCCTTTAACCAGGCATTCATCAACACTGGGGAGATAGTGTGAAAGGGCCTTTAACCAGGGCCTTTAACCAGGGCCTTTAACCAAGACCTTTAACCAGGGCCTTTAACCAAGACCTTTAACCAATACCTTTAACCAAGGCCTTTAACCAATACCTTTAACCAGGGCCTTTAACCAAGACCTTTAACCAAGGCCTTTAACCAAGGCCTTTAACCAAGGCCTTTAACCAAGACCTTTAACGAGGGCCTTTAACCTGGGCCTTTAACCAAGACCTTTAACCAAGGCCTTTAACCAAGACCTTTAACCAGGGCCTTTAACCAAGACCTTTAACCAGGACCTTTAACCAAGACCTTTAACCAAGGCCTTTAACCTGGGCCTTTAACCAATGCCTTTAACCAGGGCCTTTAACCAATGCCTTTAACCAATGCCTTTAACCAGGTCCTTTAACCAATACCTTTAACCAGGGCCTTTAACCAGGGCCTTTAACCAATGCCTTTAACCAATGCCTTTAACCAATGCCTTTACCCAGGGGCTTTAACCAGAGCCTTTAACCAATGCCTTTAACCAATGCCTTTAACCAATGCCTTTACCCAGGGGCTTTAACCAGAGCCTTTAACCAATGCCTTTAACCAATGCCTTTAACCAATGCCTTTAACCAATGCCTTTAACCAATGCCTTTACCCAATGCCTTTACCCAGGGCCTTTACCCAGGGCCTTTACCCAGGGCCTTTAACCAGGCATGTATCAACACTGGGCTGTTGCAGGAGCGGGGGTTTTATTGGGGCTGAGTATTCTCTTTGTAGTCAAGTGGGTAAAGTGGTCCCATGCAGCTCAGTTGGTAGAGCATGGCGCTTTCAACGCCGGGGTTGTGGGTTCGATTCCCATGAGGGACCAATGTATGTACTCACTACTGTAGTTTGCTTTGGATAAGGGAGTCTGCTATGTGTAAAATGAAGTGCACTCTGTTCTCAAAAAAATAAACACGGGTTACTTTTGTTTCTTAAACAGATCATCAGTTTATAATAACACTCATTATCAATTAGACTCAATAAAGCATCATATTTACCCCCTTATGATGAATCCAATGTTTTTTTATTAGACTCAATAAAGCATCGTCATCGCCCAGTTTTTCAGCTTTGCTCGAAACATGAGATTCACAAGAGCCTCTATAAAAAGATTGCAGTGTTGATTCAGTGCTTTGTTGATCATAACTGTCTGCTACTAAGGACCATCTCAGAGAAAAGAACATGAATAAGTTCTGGGAGTGGACTAGCAGTTCAGAGACACGGCGAGTCAGAGTCACAGATAAATGTCCTCTCTCTCTCTGTGTATGAGTGGAGATGGTACTAGAAGGGGGGGCAGAGACAGAGTGGGGGTCTGGGTTCTCTCATGGATTTTCTTATATCATTATCTGTTCTCCGACATTCTTAAACAAGGTCCTTGAATGTAGTTTTTCCTCTGAAGAAGCCTAAACTAGGAACTTCCTTACCCTTCTTGGGCTACTTTTAAATTTAAATGTTTTTTTAACCTGGGGACTCAGAATCCTTCTTTTTAATCATAGTCTCTCTGGAAATACAGTCCTCCTGACAAAGGAACTTTTTTGCAAGAGGTAGTCCAACAACAACCAGATTACTTTTTGAAGTTTTTTAGTTGGTGAGCACTCCCAACCTCGCCCTTCTAAAGTGTTTTTTAGTTGGTGAGCACTCCCAACCTCGCCCTTCTAAAGTGTTTTTTTGTGTGTGCACACAAATGGTTTCAACAAACCAAAGACTTTATAAGGAAGAAACAACATTTCTTTCAAGGTTGTTGGAATTCAACATTATCAAGTTTAAAGTGGTATTCCTGTACCCAATTTCTTTGGGGGAAAAGGGGGGGGGGGAAAAACACTATCTTGCAATCTGTTGGACTGAGAGGAACCCTGAAAAACCCTTCAGGCTTTTTGTCTTTGTGTTTATCTAGACCTTTTGTGTTTTTGTGTTGGTTTTAATTGTCTTTCTAAATTCATTTTGACATTTGAATTTCTTAGATATAGAATGTAGTTGTGTTAACGTCAATATCCTACCACCCTTCTTTTCCCTATCCTCTGAGTAGATACTCTAGAAGGACAATATATCCTATCTTATCTTTTGAGGATACTACATTTCATGGAAGAACCGCTTCAGGGTGTTGGCAGACCTCCCATACCGGGGTGAGTTTTTAAATAGACAACATAGCAACAACAGGATACCAATAAACAAACCACAGCGGAATAGGACACCAGCTGATTCAAAAGGGCAGAAACGAACAAAAAAATATATTTTAAACTTCTACAGGCTGTCCATCATTCAGAGATCGTGCATAAGGCTATAGCTTCCAAGTCGTTCCCAGTTGTCATGAGCAGTCAGGTGTCTAAACTTACAACTTTTATCAAACCATCTTCACCTAGATTGGAGACCGCAGAAAAGGTCAAACAGAACACTGAAAAATGGATGTAAACAAATATGGACATTTTAGGGGAGCATTATGACTCTGTCATCGCTGCTATTGTGGACCAATTGACCTCTGTTGATTTACAGGCCCTAGAGAAAGAAATTGGTTGGGGAAAGGTCGAGGTATGGGAGAAAGCTCACCCCCTCCACCATCGTATCGCTACGCACCATGGTTGGAGACCCCACTCCTGAGGGGAACAGACTAGGTGTAGCCACTGAGATCCAGTCCCCAATAAGAACACAGCCTTTCCCAGGAAACCTCAGTACACCTACTCCTCCCAGGAGAAACCCAATCACAAGGGGTTTTACTGAAGTCATTCCTGAAATCAGTTATGCTGCCGTACGTCTTCGGGCGTCAGTAAGAAGCACAGTACAGGCTGAAGGACACAGGGTGAACTCATCGCAACCTGGACTGGGGTCAGGGGTCAGATAGTGGTGTCGCTGAGGCTCATCTTAGCCCAGATCCTAACCTTTATCTTGAGGGGGAAGATAGCTCATCCCATCAACCCTTTATTAGTTGTGACCCTAACCTTGACCCTAATCATAACCACTTAGGGCAACAAGGCTTACTCGATCAACCCTTGGTTAGATCTGAGTCTAACCTTAACCCTAACCTTAACCAATCATGGGAACATGGCCTACTCCAGCACCAATCAGTTTGCTCTGGTCTTAAGCTTGACTCTGCCAATGACCCTTAGTTGGGCAATAACCCTAACCTCAACCACATAAGAGAACAAAGCTTACGACAGCAACCCTTGGTTAGCTCTAATTTTGATATTAATCTAAACCAGTCAGGGCAACATGGCTCACTCCAGTACCCCCCAGTTGGTTCCGGCCTTAGTATTGACTCTGGCCTAGAATCTAACCTTAACCACGCAGGTGGAGACAGCTCACTTCAGAACCTTCAGCACTCTAACAACGAACCTGGCAGTTTACAGACTGATGTTATGATTTTTTATTTCAATTTTGAGCTGGGAACCTTGGATGACGCCCCACCCCCCTCGACTCCAGTGACTTCAGGCATAGGAATAAGTGGGACAGTTACTAGTAATGTTGTGGTAATTATGTCTGACGACATTTCTCTCTCCCCTTCCCCCTGTATAGATGGCGTGTTGGCACCTGGAGGGGAGCAGCCAAACACTCTCTCCTATGCATCACACACACCACATACACACCAACTTCCAGTGGTGGCCCTCACTGAGAACGAAATGATGAAGGGTCATTCTGATATAAAGCAAATGCTGACAGGAAACACCCATTCTGAGTCCTAAGATCTCTCCAACAGCAGGATTTCCACCACTTCTTTCACTACTGATACTGAAACTTTCAGTACTGCTCGCTTCCGGAGACCTACACGACACGCCAGTTCAACTAATAAAAGAAGGCATTGGTCAACAGAGATAAATAAACCGATTGTGATAATAGGAGCATCGAATCTGTCGAAAATCTGTAAATATAATAACGCATTAGTACAAGTGGATAGTTTTCCTAGTGCAGAAATCCGTCACATTGTGGGAGTAAAAATAAAAACTGGAGCCCCAGGAAACGACTCAAGAGGTTCTATTTGCGTTGGGGTATAACAACTGTCTTAGTTTTAATCATGTTGAGTCAACCACCAAAAAACAGCTCCAGCAGCTTTTGGGTCTGGCTAGGAAGATCTTCCCCCATGCCGAGGTCTTCTGGTCACTGATACAATTTTCAGATCAATTGGCAGAGAGACAGCAGGCACATATCAGACAGACAAATGAAATCACCAAGCGATATCGTAGGGCGCTGACTGGGGTGCATGAGTGTAATTTTAGGGTGGAATCTCGTGATCCGGTCCATTGGACTGCAGAGACTGCAGATCAGCTGCCAGAGTCATGGCTTAAACAGTTAAACTAGAGGTTTGGAAAACGGGAGAACCCGCCCCCCACCCAGTCTAATATTCTTAATTTGTCTCTAACATTTACATTACGAGAATCAGAGAGGGATTTGCTTGAGAGGGGACTTACTTTTATTCCTACACGTTTTACGACGGACAGGGGGGTTCTGAGAAGGGACCTGCACTCGTATCAGAGACGTATGAACATTTTTGGATTATTATGATTATACTGCAGATTCAACATCGATACCATTTATTGAAATATCAAAATGGGAACCCGAGTTGGCCTCTATTTCACAGCCAATACAAAGGCTCCTTGGGCAAGATATAGAAGCCTTTTCTAGTATCTCATATCGAAAAGTGGATAAGGACAATCTGACTGAAGAATTACGGATAGCGTTAAAGAATTGAAGGAAAATCATTACGTAGTGATAAAACCAGCAGATGAGGGTTCAAAAATAGTAATTTTGGATCAAACACAATACTTAATAGAGGCGAACAGACGATTGAACAATGTTCAGCACTATAGATCACTACCACGTTCCTCACAGCTTGAAACTCAGAGGAAGATTAGAGAAATCATAAAAGATCTATATAAAGATAAATATATTTAGTCCAAACAAATGTGTTATCTGCATGGCCCTGACACGCCTAGAGCGCGAAAGTTCTACCTACTGTTCAAAATCCATAAAAACCCAGGTTCATAGACGGTTCCCTTCCAGATTACCCCCTGGCCGTCCCATTGTTTCTGATCGCGGGAGTGAATCATGTAATGTGGCAGAGTATATTGATTCCTTTCTCAATCCCTTATCTCAGAAGCACCCCAGTCATGTAAAGGGTACCTATGCATTTGTTAATAAGCTTAGAGAAATGGGAGTTACCTTCTGGAGTAATGTTATTCTCGATTGATGTAGACTCACTATACACTAATACACTATTGACACTCAATTAGGACTTAGGGAAGTGAGGGACATTTTCCTAAAATACATGGATACAAATAGACCAGATGAGGCTATCCTTTCTTTCTTAGAACTGGGACTAACGCGGAATGACTTTGAATTTGATTACAAAACACTACTTGCAAATCTCAGGTACTGCAACGGGGAAGAAGTTTGCTCGTGCGAGTGCCAACATTTACATGGCCGATTGGGAGCAGACGGTCTTCACCACCTCGTGTGCAAAAAAACGTCCATCCATTTACACGCGGTACTTGGATGATATCTTTGGGGTTTGGTGCCACTCGGTGGGGGAGTTTGTACACTTTATAGATATTTTGAATGGACATCACCCCTCGATTACAGTTTTTGTACAACGTACAACCTCAAAAGATTGAATTTCTTGATACCGAAGTTTTTATGATGCCAGGCCATGATGATAGAAAACTCTTGGGGACTAGAGTATATTTCAAACGGACCGACACACATGCATTGTTACATACGACTAGTTATCATCCTAAACACAGTTATAGGGGTCTTATTAAGTCTCAGCTTATAAGATTTAACAGAACACGTACAATAAATGAAGACGTCGAGGCAGCTACACGGATACTCTTTAAAGCACTCAGACATAGGGGCAACACCAAGAGATTTCTAGGCACAGTCAAAGCAGAGGTGAAGAGGGACCTTGAGCGTGGGGAACCTCCTAGCCAGTCCAATGAGCTTGACATTATTCCATTTTTTTCGAAACCCTCAATGAAGCTTAACTCTATTGTTAAGAAACATTTTGAGGAGACACAGAACCGATTTAAACCGTTGAAACCGCAGGTAGCTTAGTGGTTAAGAGCGTTGTGCCAGTAACCTAAAAGGTTGCTGGTTCTAATCCCTGAGCTGACTAGGTGAAAAATCTGTCGATGTGCCCTTGAGCAAGGCACTTAACCCTAATTGCTCATGTAAGTCGCTCTGGATAAGAGCGTCTACTAAAATGTAAATTAATTTCAGCATTTAGGAGAAACAAGAACCGTAAAGACATTTTGGTGAATGCTTCCCTGGGTAGTGTGGAAGTGCAGGTTAACCCTCATTTTAGATGTATCAAATACCTGGAAAATAAATATATGGGAATGGGGGCTCCGGTGTGGCAAAACTTCCAGCTGGAGTCATCCAATCTTCTTTATGTGATGGAATGTAAAGTATGTAACAAACTGTATGTAGGAGAACCCCAAAATCAATTACTGAAACGTTTAAAACAACACATGTATCGCATAGAGAGAATGGATAAAATGACAGAATCACATGTAACCTTTCGTACACATGGAAAAGAGAACATATCTATCTCTGGCCTGGAGTCGGGGGGGGGGGGGGGGGGGGGGGGGGGTCCAAGACCCAAAGACTGGCAGCAGAGAAAAGGTGGATTAACAAATTGGGCACACTTGCCCCCACCGGTCTCAACGAGATTGACCAGTCCCTTTGTGGATCTTGACCAGAGTCCCTTTGTGGATCTTGACCAGAGTCCCTTTGTGGATCTTGACCAGTCCCTTTGTGGATCTTGACCAGAGTCCCTTTGTGGATCTTGACCAATCCCTTTGTGGATCTTGACCATCCCTTTGTGGATCTTGACCAGTCCCTTTGTGGATCTTACCAGAGTCCCTTTTTTGGATCTTGACCCTCCCTTTGTGGATCTTGACCAGAGTCCCTTTGTGGATCTTGACCAGTCCCTTTGTGGATCTTGACCAGTCCCTTTGTGATCTTGACCAGTCCCTTTGTGGATCTTGACCAGTCCCTTTGTGGGGTCTTGACCATCCTTTGTGGATCTTGACCAGAGTCCCTTGTGGATCTTGACCAGAGTCCCTTTGTGGATCTGACCAGTCCTTTGTGGATCTTGACCAGTCCCTTTGTGGATCTTGACCAGAGTCCCCTTTGTGGATCTTGACCAGTCCCTTTGTGGATCTTGACCAGTCCCTTTGTGGATCTTGACCAAGTCCCTTTGTGGATCTTGACCAGTCCCTTTGGGGGATCTTGACCAGTCCCCTTTGTGGATCTTGACCAGTCCCTTTGTGGATCTTGACCAGTCCTTTGTGGATCTTGACCAGTCCCTTTGTGGATCTTGACCAGAGTCCCTTTGTGGATCTTGACCAGAGTCCCTTTGTGGATCTTGACCAGTCCCTTTGTGGATCTTGACCAGTCCCTTTGTGGATCTTGACCAGAGTCCCTTTGTGGATCTTGACCAGTCCCTTTGTGGATCTTGACCAGTCCCTTTGTGGATCTTGACCAGTCCCTTTGTGGATCTTGACCAGTCCCTTTGTGGATCTTGACCAGTCCCTTTGTGGATCTTGACCAGAGTCCCTTTGTGGATCTTGACCAGTCCCTTTGTGGATCTTGACCAGTCCCTTTGTGGATCTTGACCAGTCCCTTTGTGGATCTTGACCAGAGTCCCTTTGTGGATCTTGACCAGTCCCTTTGTGGATCTTGACCAGTCCCTTTGTGGATCTTGACCAGTCCCTTTGTGGATCTTGACCAGTCCCTTTGTGGATCTTGACCAGTCCCTTTGTGGATCTTGACCAGTCCCTTTGTGGATCTTGACCAGTCCCTTTGTGGATCTTGACCAGAGTCCCTTTGTGGATCTTGACCAGGTCCCTTGTGGATCTTGACCAGTCCCTTTGTGGATCTTGACCAGGTCCCTTTGTGGATCTTGACCAGTCCCTTTGTGGATCTTGACCAGTCCCTTTGTTGGATCTTGACCAGAGTCCCTTTGTGGATCTTGACCAGTCCCTTTGGGATCTTGACCAGTCCCTTTGTGGATCTTGACCAGAGTCCCTTGTGGATCTTGACCAGTCCTTTGTGGATCTTGACCAGAGTCCTTTGTGGATCTTGACCAGTCCCTTTGTGGATCTGACCAGTCCTTTGGATCTTGACCAGTTACCCTTTGTGGCTTGACCAGAGTCCCTTTGTGGATCTTGACCAGTCCCTTTGTGGATCTTGACCAGTCCCTTTGTGGATCTTGACCAGTCCCTTTGTGGATCTTGACCAGTCCCTTTGTGGATCTTGACCAGTCCCTTTGTGGATCTTACTCCAACCAGAAAAATATTTTTGATAACATGTTGTTTGTGTGCGAAGGTGACACTGACTGTACCAAATAACCTCCTACCCAATTTTAATAGATCCCCTATTAAAAATATTTCTTACAATTTCTATTTTCTTATTTAATTGATGATGTATTTATTTAGTATTCATTCTTATTTTGATGGGATTTCATTGTATTTCTTTTATTTGCATGATAACGGAATATGGTTCTTCCTCTTTTTAAAACTTAAAAGCAGGCTATTTTGATTTCTTAACCCCTCCTCTTAATGGACTTGTTTGAATAATTAACACTTGTTTATTTATATTTGCCAACATCAGCACTTATAACCTTTTGAGGTAAAAAAAACAAACATATATTCATTAATTAATTTATCCATTTATATTTGTTATGATTTTGAGGATCTAAATGTTTTGAGGATTGGTGTTGTTGGTGTCATCTCCTCCCAACTAAAAGACAATCTTGTCTAGTTTACAAACATTTCATACATGTCAAATGCCATGCACCTGGCCATGATAGCCCAGTGGTTGGAGCATGAAGAAAGTTAGTTTTAAGTTGTTGGTTCGAATCCCCCAGGGGAAGGGGAAAATAAATATATATTTTGGGTGTTCCATTGAGAAAGGCACTTGGCGCCAACTGTTTTATGGTACGCTGTTGATAGAAATTCAGGCCATCTAGTGACCATTAACAAACATTTCAGGGAACTACCCTTTATTCTGGTTGGAAGTTTTTAGCTTTCTGGTACCACTTCACCACTTATGGGAGATTCGTGGTCCTCTGTAGCTCAACTGGTAGAGCACGGCGCTTGTAACGCCAAGGTAGTGGGTTCGATCCCCGGGACCACCCATACACAAAAAAAATGTATGCACGCATGACTGTAAGTCGCTTTGGATAAAAGCGTCTGCTAAATGGCATATTATATTTATTATATTGTTACAATGTATTAAAATGGTACCTTGGTTTTATCTTGAGGTTCATAAAATGAGTGGGGTAATTGTCTATGTGCCAGTGCACTCCTTGTGGGTAACAGTTTTTGTCCCCTTACCTAACCCTAACACCCTGTGTTTGATACCATTCCAAGGTCACCCTCCCCAATTAAGGTGCTATCAACCTCCTGTGGCTGAAACTAATGTTACGCTCACTGTCCTCCAAGACACAGCAACACATTTACATCATTTAGCAGACGCTCTTATCCAGAGCGACTTACAGTTAGTGAGTGCATACATTATTTTTTTTAAAACTGGCCCCGTGGGAATCAAACCCACAACCCTGGCGTTGCAAACGCCATGCTCTACCAACTGAGCTACATCCCTGCCGGCCATTGCCTCCCCTAGCCTGGACGACGCTGGGCCAATTGTGCGCCGCCCCATGGGTCTCCCGGTCGCGGCCGGCTACGACAGAGCCTGGATTCGAACCAGGATCTCTAGTGGCACAGCTAGCACTGCGATGCAGTGCCTTAGACCACTGCGCCACTCGGGAGATCTACACACCTTACTGTCCTCCATGGCAACACCTCACTGTCCTCCATGACACAGCAACACCTTACTGTCCTCCATGGCAACACCTCACTGTCCTCCATGGCACAGCAACACCTTACTGTCCTCCATGGCAACATCTCACTGTCCTCCATGGCAACACCTTACTGTCCTCCATGGCAACATCTCACTGTCCTCCATGGCACAGCAACACCTCACTGACCTTCATGGCACAGCAACACCTTACTGTCCTCCATGGCAACATCTTACTGTCCTCCATGGCAACACCTTACTGTCCTCCATGGCAACACCTCACTGTCCTCCATGGCAACATCTCACTGTCCTCCATGGCAACATCTCACTGTCCTCCATGGCACAGCAACACCTTACTGTCCTCCATGGCAACACCTTACTGTCCTCCATGGCAACACCTCACTGTCCTCCATGGCAACATTTCACTGTCCTCCATGGCAACACATTACTGTCCTCCATGGCACAGCAACACCTCACTTACTAAGCCAAGTGAAACACTATGTGTACTTAGTAGTATTTAGTAAGTGAGACGTCTCATGTGCCTCATTCATTAAATGCAGGTCATATACAGGTAACTGCCAAAATAAAGGAAACACTTGAGTAAATGAGGGATACAAAGTATATTGAAAGGAGGTGTTTCCACACAGGTGTGGTTCCTGAGTTAATTAAGCAATTAACACCCCATCATGATTAGGGTCATGTATAAAAATGTCCAGTTGCCCATTATTGTGGCTACCATGGCTAGAAGAAGAGATCTCAGTGAAATTGAAAGAGGGGTCTCAAAGGAGCCTAGGAGGAGCCTAGTGTGTGTCTCAGTCACCAGATCTCAACCTAATTGAACACTTATGGGAGATTCTGGAGCGGCGCCTGACACAGCATTTTCCGCCACCATCAACAAAACACCAAATGATGGAATTTCTCGTGGAAGAATGACGTCACATCCCTCCAATAGAGTTCCAGACACTTGTAGAATCAATGCCAAGGTGCATTGAAGCGGTTCTGGCTTGTGGTGGCCCAAGACCCTATTAAGACACTTTATGTTGGTGTTTCCTTTATTTTGGGGACTATTGCAGCGAGCAATGGCCAGCGTACTACACAAGGTCATCTCTCGTTAAATCATCAATAAGCGCTAAAATCACCGGCACAGCTGATCTCAATTGCAACCATCTCTGGCCAGTGGCCACCGAATTACCGCTCCTTAGTCCTGATTTCATGGCCGGCGCCAGAACGAACCAGTTGGACGGGCATTTGATTTCCTTTGCTGCCAAACATTTTCAAGACTATTTCGCCCTCTGGTGGGTATTATCATTGGAACAAATTAATCTCGTTTATTTTTTTTGCTAAGTGCGAGGCCAGACTGATCCGTGGAGAACAGATGAATTTTGGTCCATTGTCCGTGCGCGTGTGGAGTGTGTAACGTATAACGCCTTCTAATTCTAATTGGCTAAACGGATGGTCACGTGTCCGTCGGCCCATCAAAAGTTCAACTCATCTGAACCTTTTGTGCGTGAAAATGGATGGAAATTGTATGGATCTACGCTGACTGTCAACGTACAACTCCCATTGAAAAAGCATTGGAAATCAGAGCGAGAAATACGGAGACAGAGAGTTTTAGACAGACAGAGACAGAGATAGAGAGGCAGAGAGACACACAGAGACAGAGACAGACATAGCCAAAGCCAGAGACAGACACAGCCAAAGCCAGAGACAGACACAGCCAAAGCCAGAGACAGACATAGCCAAAGCCAGAGACAGACACAGAGCGAGATCTCCAGATAAGAGCTACTCACCAGTGATCTCCACCACGCCATCCTTGGTCTTGATCACCAGCTCTTCAGGGGAGAAGTGGTTGACGTCCAGAGTGACCTTCCAGGCTTCCTGGGTCTGCTTGATCTCAGACATGCCAGAGCTGAGCTGGCGGGAGAGGGCACGGGCGTACGATGCTGCCCCAGCCTGAGCCATCATGGGGGCCTGTGCGATCACAGGGCCCTGGGGCATCACGGCAGCCTGCATCATGGCACTATGCAGGGGGGACATCACAGGGCTCTGGGGCATCATGGCAGCCTGCATCATGGCACTATGCAGGGGGGACATCACAGGACTCTGGGAGATCATGGAGGGTATGAATCCAGCAGTGGACATGTCGGGGCCAAGGGCGGATGGGCGCATGTAGCCGGGCCAGTGGGCGCTGGGGAAGGTGGGGAACTCCTCAGGGAGGGCGGGCATGCCGAAGGCCTGGTCAAAGAGCTGGCTGCCCTGGTACCAGTCACGGAAGGGGTCCCAGCTGGGGGTGTGGAGCAGGCTGAAGGGGATACGTCTCTCTGTCATGGTTGCTGGAGGAAGAGGAGTAGTACTGTAGTAGTAGTAGAGCTGTGGGGCTGGCTGTGGGGCTGGATGTGGGGCTGGCTGGCTTGTTGGCTGTGGGGCTGGCTGGCCGGCTGTAGATGCCTTTGGTTGGTCTCTCTCAAACTTCCACTGAAAGTTCTGTCTGCTCCTCGGCTGAAGGCTTTTTATAAACACAGCCACGGCCCACCTCTCGTCAACACTGTCACTGACTCTCTCCCCCACACCTCCCTCACACAGATATTTATAGAAGGAACTAGAATGTCTATTCATGGCAGATGTAGCACTAGAATGGAATCTAATTCCAAGGCCCTCCCATCGATCACTCTAACACAGCTGCCCAGCACTCTATTTCACCCCCATCCCTCCCTCCCTCCCTCCCTACCTCCCTCCCGCCCTCCCTCCCTCCCTCCCTCCCTCCCTCCCCCTCCCTCCCTCCCCCACATATGCCGTTTCTAACACACAGGCTGGTAGAGAACAGTATGTTATGTAAAAAGCCAGCCACATATGTGCTATTAGCAGCTATACATTAAGAATGCACACTGAAATCCTAGGAGCTCAGACAATCAAAACACAGCAGACACCACTGTCACCCCACACCCACCCACATTCATGCATGCTTGTATACAGTACACCCACAGGCCCAGAAGCACACAGAGGATACACTCCCTCTACTAAAAAGTTATGTTGGAGGTATTTGGTGTGATAGGAGTTAGTCCTGACATGGAGGAATGGAACCTGTAGAAACTATATCTCCTCTCTGTCTCTTCTCTGTCTCCTCTCTGTCTCTTCTCTGTCTCTCTCGTCCTCTGTCTCTCTCTGTCTCCTCTCTGTCTCCATTTCATGTCTCCTCATGTCTCTCTGTCTCTCTCTGTCTCCTCTCTGTCTCCTGTCTCCTTCTGTCTCTCAATGTCTCCTCTCTGTCTCAGTCTCCTCTGTCTCCTATCTGTCTCCTCAATGTCCCCTCTCTGTCTCCTCAATGTCTCCTCTCTGTCTCCTCAATGTCTCCTCTATGGCTCCTCTTGTCTCCTCTCTATGTCTTCTCTCAATGTCTCCTCTCTGTTCCTTCTCCTCAATGTCTCTCTCTTCATCCTCATGTCTCCTCTCTGTCTCCTCTCTGTCTCCTCTCTGTCCATCTCTCTATGTCTCCTCTCTGTCTCTCTCTCTCATGTTCCTCTACTCAATCTGTCTCCTCTCTGTCTCCCCTTCTCATGTCTCCTCTTGTCTCCTCATTGCTCCTCTTCCTCTCTGTCTCCTCAATGTTCTCTTCTATGTCTCCTTCTCTGTTCTCAGTCCTCTCTGTTTTCTCCTCAATTGTCTCCTCTCTTCTCCTCAATGTCTCCTCATGCTCCTCTTGTCTCCTCCTCATCTATTCTCCTCTCTGTCTCCTCTATTCTCCTCTCTGCTCTCTCTTCCTGTCCTCTCTTCTCAATGTCTCTCTCTGTCTCCTCAATGTCTCACTGGTCCTCTTGTCTCTCTCCTCAATGTCTCCTCTATGTCTCCTCTTGCTTCTCCTCTCTGCTCTATCTTCCTCTGTCTCCTTCTCTAGTCCTCCGTCTCTCTGTCTCCTCAATGTCTCTCTCTCTCATGTCCTCTCTCTGTCTCCTCAATGTCTCCTCTCTGTCTCCTCTTGTCTCCTCTTCTGCTCTCTCGTCTCTCTGTCTCCTCATGCTCCTCTCTGTCTCCTCAATGTCCTCTCTCTGTCTCCTATCTGTCTCCTCTCTTCTCCCAATGGCTCCTCTCTGTCTCCCTCTAGCTCCTCTCTGTCTCCTCTCTGTCTCCTCAATGCTCCCTGTTCTCATCTCTCTGCTCCTAATTTCCTGTCCTTCCTCTCATGTCTCCTCTCTGTCTCCTCAATGTCCTCGCTCAGTCTCCTCTCTGTCTCCTCAATGTCTCCTTCTGTCTCCTCCATGTCTCCTCTTGTCTCCTCATATGTCTCTCTCTGTCTCCTCAATGTCTCCTCATATGGCTCCTCTATGTCTCTCATATTGTCTCCTCAATGTCTCCTCTCTGTCTCCTCAATGTCTCCTCTATGTCTCCTCTCTGTCTCCTCTAATGTCTTCCTCTTCTCTATGTTCTCCTTCTCTGTCTCCTCTGTCTGTCTCCTCAGATGTTCCTCTCTGTCTCCTCAATGTCTCCTCTCTGTCTCCTCAAGTCTCATCTATGTCTCCTCTTGTCTCTCATGTCTCCTCTCTGTTCCTCTCTGTCTCCTCAAGTCTCCTTCTCTGTCTTCCTCTCAATGTCTCCTCTCTGTCATCCTCATGTCTCCTCTGTCTCCTCATGTCCTCATCTCTCATGTTCTCCTGCTCTTCTCCTCTCTGTCTCCTCATGTTTCTCTCTGTCTCCTCTCTGTCTCCTCAATGTCTCCTCTCTGTCTCCTCAATGTCTCCTCTCTGTCTCCTCAATGTCTCCTCTATGTCTCCTCTCTGTCTCCTCAATGTCTCCTCTCTGTCTCCTCTCTGTCTCCTCAATGTCTCCTCTCTGTCTCCTCATGGCTCTCTTCTGTCCTCTCATAGCTCCTCTCTGTCTCTCTCATGTCTCCTCAATGTCCTCTCTGTCTCTAATGTCTCTTCTGTCTCCTCAATGTCCTCGTCTCCTCTGTCTCCTCTCTGTCTCCTTCTGTCTCCTTTTGTCTCCTATCTGATCCCCTCTTCTCCTCAAGTTCCATCTGCTCCTATCTGTCCTCTCGCACAATACTCTTTGTTCATCCTGCTCATCTAATCTCCTAATGTCCCTCTACTCTCAATGTCTCTTGCTCCTGATGTCTCTTATCTGATCCTCCAGTCACTCAATGTTCTCCTTCGTTCCCTCAGTCACTCTCTGTCTAATGTCTCCTCTCGCCAATGAATGTCATCTTCTTCCACTCTGTTCCTATGTCTCCCAATATCACTATGTCTCATTTCTATCTCTCTTTCTCTCTGTTCCTCAAATTTCTCTTGTCCCTCTGACTCCCTCGTCTCCTACTGTCTCCTCTCGTCTCAATGTCTCCTCTCTGTCTCCTCTCTGTTTCCTCTCGGTTTCCTCAATGTCTCCTCTCTGTCTTCCACTCTAAAGTCACTACACAATGGCATTCCTATCATGGACAACCTAGTTTTGCTTTGAATTAGTTCCACTGCTGGCTTTATGGCCTGTCTGAGTGTAAAGGGAATTTTCAGGTGAACAAAAGAGAAGAGCCATTGTGGATATAGTCAATCACAAATCAATTCAGTTTAATTACAAGTAGCAACAGGGAGACACCTCCAGCACAGAAGAAGAGAAAATGTCTAGCTTGGCCTTTTTCCCGAGAAGGCCCTTATATCCTAATTCCACAGCACCAGGAAGTCAAAACAATGTTGTCATCTGCTACAGAATGACACAGTGTTCCACAGAACACAACAACAATCAGTGTCCTTGGTCCTTGGAACCTCCAGACTGGCGTCAATCAACAGATATGAGAAATGAGTGTCACAAATAGAACATTTCAAATCATGTGAATAACATTAAGGCAAAATATAGAAATATGCTAAGCATTGTGTTAATTACTCTTAAATTAATACTTTATTCATCTGAAATATTAATATATTATTTTGAATACAACAAACAAAACATCTGGAAGAAGGACAGCTTTGGCATGCACCTTCCAGTGCTCAACCTACATTACAGTAACTTTAGCAAATAGCAGATCATCTTTAGTATCTATCCACTGACTGCGTCTAATACTGTTCTACATCAGGTTACATCAGAGATGCAGCGTCATATTCTCGGTCCCTGTTTGTAATAGAGTTCATAATATAGGAGCTACTGCTTGGGTGGTTGTAACAGGTGTGAGCCTGCCAGTATATGTATCTATTGAACCTTTATTTCATTTCTTTGTCCCATGTAGCTCAGTTGGTAGAGCATGGCGCTTGCAACGCCAGGATTGTGGATTCGATTCCCACGGGGGGCCAGTATGAAAAAATGTATGCACTCACTAACTGTAAGGTGCTCTGGATAAGAGCGTCTGCTAAATGACTAAAATGTCAAATCAGGGAGTCATACTGAGTCCAAGGTCTCTTTTTCATTTAGCAGACGCTCTTATCCAGAGCGACTGTACAGTTAGTGAGTGCAAAACTTTTTTCATACTGGCCCCCCGTGGGAAATGAACCCACAACCCTGGCGTTGCAAGTGCCATGCTCTACCAACTGAGCTACAGGGGACTACGCATGAGATGAGATGAGCCGAGCCCTGAATGACAAAAATTACAGAAAATACACACATCAAAATAAATACAAAATGCAAGCAGAAAGCTAAAAACACGGTCATAAAAAAACAAAACACATTGATCAGTAATAAGGTCCTCAATCAGCTTTCTGAATTGACCTAGACGCACCAAAACATCAAATTTAACATTTTGAAGATTGTTCCATAAATAAGGTGCGAGAAAACCAAACGCTGATTTACCTAACTCAGTAGAGACCAAATTAATTTCTAGGGTTAGCCATCCCTGAGACAGGGGTGTGGAAACTCATATGTCTAAAGTTTAGTAAAGATGTTAGGTACAGTGGGACTTTTTGTAAAAGGGCTTTATAAATGAAAACATAGCAACCTACGTGACATCATAGAGGGCCAGCCAACGTTCTGGTAGAGAATGCAGTGATGAGTACTAAATCGTTCCCCCAGTAATTAAGCGCAGTAATAAACTGCGTCTAACAGCTTTAATGAAGTGGCAGCTGCGTTTATATAGATGACGTCGTCATAGTCTAGGACCGATTGGAACGTCGACTGAATAATCAGCTTTCTACTATTTAGCGAGAGGCAGGACCTGTTTCTATAGAAGAAGGCCCATTTTTATTCTCAGATTCTTAACTAACTCATCAATATGCTTTTTAAAAAGACAGCTTTTCGTCTATCCAGATGCCCAGATATTTGTAAGCAGGGACACGATCAATATGGACACCATCCAAAGTACATATGCATAAATCATCAGAGTTATTTGTATGGGCTCTAGAGAACAACATATACTTAGTTTTACCTGCATTCAACACTAATTTCAGGTCAATAAAGTTATTCTGTAATACAGTGAAGGCAGACTGTAGTTCAGATAGAGCCTGGTCAACCGTGGGGGCAACAGCATACACAACAGTCTCATCAGCAGTTTACAATTTATTTTACAGACAAGTCGATATTGCTAATGTAAACAGTAAAAAGTACAGGACCCAGAATCGACCCTTGCGGGACACCTTTCGTAATATACAGGAAACCTGATTTAACATCATCAGTAAATACACATTGAGTTCCATCTGTCAAGTAATGGT